TGTGTTAGTTACTGTGCAAAATACCTTCAATTTTCAAGGCCCTAGAGTCCCTTTAACTCACAGATGAAAATAGTGCTGATAAATATACATGAATATCCAGACCAGCTGTCTTTTCTCACTAATAGATGAGAGATATTTTAGAGCTGTGAAAGACAAAAAGAAGGATTTGGGGCATTTTTGTTGATGAAATAAGAATAAGAACTTTTCATAAGACAAGAGATTGTATGCCCAACATTTTGTCCTCTGTTTTTCATTAATTCATCCTAAAAGCAACTTCATATCTCAACAGAGATATGAGACTGTAGGTGTTGTCAGTGTCATCAGTGGGCTTTATTTCATGTAGGTTTGGAGACTTTGCACCAAGGTTGCACATGTTTGAGTCAAAGGTGTTCTAACAGGAAGAAACTGAAACTGACGTCATTGATTTGAACTGAATGCCATTTTACTTTCAAAAACAGTCAAGGACATCTATTGACGAGGAATGAATGAATAAGATGAGCAATAAATAACTAAAGGACAAGAAAGCATCCTTAAGTCGAATGTCTTTTTTCTTCTTGAAAAATCAAGGGCTTTGAATTCAACTATGAAGTCGTGGTGTCAGAGACGCCCCTGAAGATTCACTGCTATTGTAGACCATCAGATATCTATTCAAATGTCCAGTATTTCCTGGAATGCAGATATTTTCAATTCCTGCAACTCTTTTCACAGCTTGGAAAAGAAACAGGATGGAAATAAAAGGAAAGGAGAAAATATGACCCCGCATGTAAAAGAGGTGTGTATTTACAGTCAAACACTGTTTGCCAAGAGAACATATTCAAATGTTCAGTACACAGAGACGGGCAGAGAAAAAGGAAGTGTGTGACGGTTAACCTTATGATGTGCATTCATTATTTTGGTCAACGCAGGCAACTTTCACTTCACATAATAGTCAGAGGATTAGCTGCTTTTGTGTTGTTTGTGTACCCGGGTGAAGTGCACCCGGGTGCATGTTTACAGTGTACATTTGAGACGATTAACAGAAAACAATCATTCTGCAATTCTAGGCTTCTAAAAGTCATATAATAAAACAATGTGAGAAGGGAAAATATTGCTTGCCTGACCTGCTCACACCTTACAGACGAATGAAACCTGTTGCAATCTGCAAAAGTGCACATCATGACTACATATTTTATATTGGCAGCATTTTTCAGTATCATTGTAACGAGCAGTTAACACTCTATATTAGACTGGATGCCTAAGTGTTTTTAGTCAAAAATAATAAGATGAATAAGTATGTAGTTATTTATTTATATTGCACATGTTCTCCAGTTTTACAGCTTGGACTTCTTTAGGATCTTGTCCAGCAGAGCTCTTTCTGTTTCTGGGATGATCTTTGTCCACAGGTTCAGAAATCTCTGGTTTGAAGCCAGCTTCTGGAGGAGGATCTGTCCGTGGTGCCTGTGGAGGAAGAAGTTATTTGTTAAGCACAAAGTTCAGATAAACAAAATTGAGATGGTGAAAACAATCAACACAAAACAAGAGGCGCACATTACAAGATTATGCAAAGTTCTGCACTAAATCCATATAACTTGACAACGTACCTCACGTCTGGTGCAGCATCCACACACATTTTGGAGACGGCTCTTAGGAAGTGTTCGGTGAAGCTCGTTCCTGCTGCCAAGACGCAAGCTGCTCCAAATCTGTCGACCAGGAGGTGCAGGTGTTGGGCCATGCTCCCTCTTACTGCGACACAACGGTGACTGAGGAGGGACAAATACAGGGTGATACAGTGTTGTAGTCAAGTCACCAATTCACGAGTCCAAGTCACTCTCGAGTCACCACTCTTCGAGTCCGAGTCCAAGTCTGAGTCACCTAGGGAGAGTCGTAGTCGAGTCCAAGTCCGAGTCACCCAAGGAGTGTCCGAGTCAAGTCTGAGTCCGAGTCCAAGTCCGAGTCACCCAAGGAGTGTCCGAGTCGAGTCCGAGTCATCATTACCTGTGTTCGAGTCCGAGTCCGAGTCACCCAAGAAGAGTCCAAGTCAAGTCCGAGTCACAAGACTTCATGTATTAATCTTAGTGGATATATGTGTTGAAATGTAGCTGCTCTTCTACATTGCTTTTATCCTGTCATGTTATACTAATGTGTCTATTGAACTGCTGTGAAGCCATTTTGGCTACAATTATTGTAATAGGTGCTATACAAATATAAAGCTTATAACTAATATTAATATTATTATTATTATTATTATTATTATTATTATTATTATTATTATTGTAAATGACCTTTAACCCTTGTTAAAAATGTACACGCCCATAATAACTGCTATTAAATCATCATACATCAATATTTTTTTCTACTTTTTTTTTTCATGAATCACTTAAACAACTTATAACGTACACAAAACTACCAAACATTCAATAATTTTCAGGATTTTAACCCTTTAAATGCCTGTTTCATTATTAGAATTATCTCATTATTTATGACAAAAAAACACAAGAAATGTTTTCAATATAATAATTAGTAAAGGGATGGAACTTTGGTGGTTATTAGAGTCTTGGATGTGTCAAAGATTAGCAACAAAATTGATTTGACTGCATTATTATTTTTTACGTAGTGTCAGATACTCGCTCTGGACACCTTCGTGGCAAAAATGTACACGCCCATAATAACTGCTATTAAATCATCATACATCAACATTTTTTTCTACTTTCTTTTCATGAATCACATAAACAACTTCTAACGTACTCAAAACTACCAAACATTCAATCATTGTCAGGATTTTAACCCTTTAAACGCCTGTTTCATTAATTGAATTATTTAATTTATCTAAAAAATGCCTCGTTGACTTCCATTCAGACCACATTTTTTGATCTCACTGCCATTGCAGTATAAAACCATGCATTTTGTAATGTCAGCATTTCATTTAGAAGAAAAGTAGTGATATTTGATATTTCTACTCTATTCCAACAGATTAAACAATTTTCCCACTGTAGGCCGATGCATGACATTCTTACATTTTTGCCAGTTATATTATGGAGCCGTGTGACTACCAGGGGGCCCCGAGAGTGGTGTGTGTGTGTATTGTGTGTGTGTGTGTGTGTGTGTGTGTGTGTGTGTGTGTGTGTGTGTGTGTGTGTGTGTGTGTGTGTGTGTGTGTGTGTGTGTGTGTGTGTCATTTCCAGCAGCAGACCAGCAGGCCTGTGCACAACCAGCACACACCTCTCCTCCCTCTCCGTGTGTGTGTGTGTGTGTGTGTCTGTGAGAATCTGTAAGCATGCACGGATCATTTCATGGGTAAAAAAAGGCCATCTTTTGAGGGCTGTGTTTGATGTGTCTTTGAAGAGCTGCTTGATTACTCAAAAACAAAAAACAACTGTTAGTGTGTTTATGCACCTGGCTGCCAAAGATAAACATGCAGTTTGACCAAGGGCTTATTTCATTAGTGAGCAGAGAAGGAGAAAGACCTGGAGCAAAGAGAAGGAACTCAAATGAAGAAGCATTTCAGTGCAGAAGAGACTTCAGAAATAATCTTGCAGCCTTCTTCTGCCAGCGAGCTGCAGGACTCATCTGAAGAAGACACAAGGTTCGAGGGGGGGTCTGACACTGAATGCTCTCTGGAGTCCAGCATTTCTTGGAGTTCCTCTGACCCTTCCTCTGAAAGTGGAGAGGACACTGAGGGTCCCGTCCACAGTGAGGGGACAGAGAAGAACGGAGGTCGTTCTCCCAGGAGCTGGGGAAAACCAGGGTGTCCTCACAGATTGTGAGAAGAAAGCCCCCCGTGGTGGTGGATGGTGGGCCGGAATTTTCAAATTCTAGCGCAGTCAAGCTGGTTTCTCCAAAATTACATACCCCACCTTTAAGCCCCACTCTCGGCTTTTAGTGTGTAACGAGCCGATCGCGTTCACACCGGAATAAATTCCCTGAGGGGAGATTACGCAAATGAGCCGCTGACGTCACTTCGTCTTCTTCTGCTTTGGGTTTCTGGCAGGCCTCAAACAACTTCACGGCGTATACTGCCACCCGAAGTTCCCGGCCGAAAGTCCCCGGAGTTGGGGACTGGCTTCAGTAGAAGCTGCTGGGACTCCCAGCAGCTTCTACTGAAGCCTTCCGAGTAAATCGCCAGAACGCCGACACCTCCTCATCTCCACCGCTCCCATGTTTTCTTTTGTGTTGCCATAAGTTAGTCTCTCTGCGTTTGTGCGCTGGGCGAATGCTAATGCTAATAATGCTAATGCGAGGATAATAAAATGGCGGCTCTACAAAACATTTCAGAGTTTTACGGGGCGTGGTTTGCAATTCGCACAGCCAATCAAAACTGGGGCACTTTTTTCCCCCAGGAAAGTACCACCTCTCAGCAGGCACTAAAAATGGGGGTAAAAGTTCCCGGCACTAAGTACTCTTTTTGGTGTGAATGCGACATAAGGGGTACTAACGGAACTAAACGGGAAAAGTACGGGGAAAAGTATTTTCTAATATTTTAGATATGAGGTATTCTATGCTAGTTTATAATATAACTTTGTCACATGTGTTAAACAGATAGCCTAATTACTTTTCAAAAGAACATTTGACATACAAAATCTGAATGATCAGTATGTAATAAATGATGCATTGTTATAGAATCCCAAAATATATGACGTAATAAAAATATGTGTCAATGTAACCGACCACAATATTAATGTAACACTGATGTGAATGCAGCACAGATAATATAATAGTGAAAGGAACCATTCTGCATACTTTTTGTGCTTTTATTCAAGTCAAATTCAGAATTGTGGGCTTTTGGTTGTAATGGAGTACTCTTAATGTGTGGTATTCAAAATATCTTCCATCACTGGTTTAAGTCATTTTATTGTCTTTTCTTGTATCTTAATTAATTGTATTTATATTTGTGCAAAATGTTAATTAATTAGAAAATAAGAAGGTTATTGCTGTCACCTGGTGGTCAAAACTCTGAAGGAGAAATGCTGCTTACTCCCTATTGGCTGCTGAAACATGACGCAACGTGTCAAGGAACAACAAGGAAGTGAAACAACAAACGTTATTGAAGCTAGCTACCTCAGCAGAGGGTTAACATCACAGGTACGTTTCGTTTCACTTATCTGACCTTCTTCTTCAACACGTACTGGCTCTGATACATTTTTCTGTGCACAACAGTTTACTGAACTGTGTCGACTATTTGTGTATACCCTTGTTTTATAGACACATACAGATATGGGGGACCTTCCTGTCAATCCGCTGGTTCTGATTGGTGTGGGCTCCAGCTTCGCCTTCTCTGGCCTTTTCTATCATCTGTACAAAGGGAAGAAAGAAGAGTTGAAGAAGCTAAAGGCAAGTGCATAATTACTGAAGTCATGCTTAAGTATTCAGACAGCTCTCGAGTAGTGTAATGATTTTAAAATGCTTATTTCAACCTGTTTCTTTTTGCTTTTCATTTTAGGAAATACCCGTATTCAAGCCAGATCAGCATTTGGTGAAAGTACTGAAAGCGTCTCCTCACAGGCGGCTTCAGTATGTTGCTGTAGAAGGTACAAACACTATTGACACTTTAGTGAATGCAGTTTTGAATGGGTTAAGACCAGTGGTGATAAAGTAACTAAGTACATTTACTCAAGTACAAGTGTTCTTGACTTAAGTATTTAAATGTTTTGCTACTTTGTACTTCTACTCCTCTACATTTATTTGATACGTTAAGTTACTTTGCAGATTTAGATTAATAATGTGAAATATAATCAACTCTTAAATCAGACTTTAGTCACACCTGGAGTAAATTCACAAGCTACCCTGCAGTATACACAGTCATTAAAACTAGCTGCACCTTTACCAGCTTTGATAACACTCTAATATATGAAAAACACATCATATATATTATTCTTAAATGGACCAATCTGCATGAGTACTTTCACTTTTGGTACTTCAAGTATATTTTGATATTAATACTTTGGTACTTTTACTTGAGTAACATTTTGAATGCAGGACTTTTAGTTGTAACAGAGTATTCCTACACTCTGGTTTCAAGTTCTACTTTTACCTAAGTACAAGATAGTACTTCTCCCACCACTGGTTAAGTCACAGATGTTTTACAGTTTCCTTTATATGTGTTGTTAGGTCTGGTGCAGGCGGATGGGGAGTCTCTGGCAAGTCAGTTTGTCCCTCGTTGTTACGGTGTGATTCAGAAGATCGCAGTGGAGGAGCAGTGGAAATTCTGGAACTCCCTCACCAAGACATGGTACAATAGACAACAAAACAAACCCAACACTGTCCCTCTATCTATTACTAGTCTGTTGATAACATTTTGATTACTTTGCCAGGAATTCACGGACAATAAACAGAAAAGAAACCAACAACTCTGTGCCGTTCAGTCTGGTCAGCCCTGGGGCCTTCATCAATGACTTGTATGTGAAGGTTCAGAACCCTCTGGAGGCCTCCGGGTGCTACCTGGACAGGGTGTACTTCAAAAGGAGTCGGGCCGAGAAGGGCTTGGCAGACATGGTGATGAATGGCATCACCGGGGAGGAGCCAGTGGCCATGGAGGTCAGCGAGGAGCTGCTGCGGGTGGGGAGCACCCTGACTGGGTATGGGGAGGTGGTGCTGGAGGGAGGGCAGGTGATGAGGCTGCAGGCCCCGCAGGACGGCCGCAAGTTCATCCTGGTGCCCACCGACCACCGGAGCTTCATGGACGGGCACGAGAAGTCCGCCAGTATGTGGAAGACGCTGTCGGCTGTTACTGGCATCACAGGGGCCGCTATTCTAACCAAGGTCATCTGTGGGTTAGTGGGGAACCAGGATGGAAAATCCAAGAAGGCCTGAAGACGATACTGTTGCTTTAACGGTTGTGTGACCGCTTTATAGCTCTCCAAAAACTGCCTCAGGTGTTTTGTTTAGATTCCACAGCAACTTTCTGATGCTAAGATAATGTATCACTTGTCAAAATTCCTCAAGTGTTAGATCCATCATGATGCTAAGATTATTAGTCAGTGTCATCTTGTAAGTTTTGTTTTCCCATTAAAGTAGCAGCTACAGGGGCCTGTGAGGGTCAATACACAACATTGGACAAAACATAGAAAGCACAGGAATTTATAAAACATTTACAAATTTGGAAAAAAATACACTCAAAAATAAAGCTGAACAGAATCTTAGATGTTGATACATTTCCCACATTGTGATTATAATGTGTTCAATGTATTTGTTAAAGTGTTTTGATCCAATGTTGTTCTGCTGTGACAGGCACTACTTTTCTTGAAACCATCATGAAAATATCTCTTATTTCTCCTGCAGTCACTGGGACATTTTGAATATATGAATAGCTGAAAACTGATGACACCTCAGAGGAGGACACATTAAATGTGGCATATTTTAGTATTGTTAAACTATTGAATCAAGGCAACATTTTTGTAATTCAATTGTATTTTTATAATGTAAGATCAAATCTTTTTTTTGTGGAGTTGTGTGGCGTAATCAATTTTTCACTTTTGATTTGCAAGAGTAACTGAGCCTGATTAAAATTGAATGTAAAAAATGTTTTGGACTGGATCTATTTGCAGATATAATGTACTACCTCTTAGATAAGACCTGCAGTCTGTTTGTGGAACAAAAGATAACACATGATAAAGGGATGTGGTGATATTTTTAATAAAACCTTTAAATTGAGTGAGACATTTTGTGTTCTTTTCCAAGCAGTCAGGGGTCGGTCTCTTCTTTAATTGGATATTGACGTTCACAGCACACAGCACACCGCCCTTACCTGGCGTGGCACTATGTGTCAGTCTAAACTGTACAGAGAAGATCCTGCTGGATGTTAGTGACAGAAAGCTGCTGTTGCCGGGGGTAACACCAGCTGCCTGAATCCCTTTTTCTTCAAGTTTACAGTTATCTTTGTCTTTACGTGCTCCTCATTATTCCCCCTCCTCCTCTGAAGACTCCTCTGCCTCCTTCAACCACTGGATGAACTTCTGAAGCTGTTGAACAAAATTCAGTTTACACAATTACTCCCTTTAGTATTTAGATATTGCATAATGGTTTGGTCTTCCATCAATAGTTTTAGAGGATAGTTTGTGTACAAGTCAATGTGGTTAAAAAGCAAATCTGATTTTTTTCTACATTGCCTTAACTCATTTTGAAAATGCATTTTATTTCTCTCGTAAATAATTTGACATAAAAACATGTAAAAGGTGCATCATAAATGTACAGGCCTTGCTATAAACAAAAGGAAAGAAAGAATAATATCTGTGCTTATTGAAATCCCTTTTACAAACACTACTCAATGCTATCACATAATCAATGATGTTGTGCTGGAAACATATTAGTGATTTCATGTTACAGTGCTGATTACCCAGCCATCCTAACTTTAACCCTCATTATATCTTTATATTATAATAATCATTTATAAGTGTGCTGCTCCTACCCCCTGGTTCTTGCGCAGCTGCTTGCTCTGGTCGGTGATGTCTCCCTGGGAGAACCAGCGCATTATCATGTCCTCCTCCAGGATCTCCAGCTGGTACATGTTCATCAGGACCTGGGGGGGGGGAAGTAACACAGCATCTTCAGCACCAGGTACAGTACGGGTAGGTAAACTGCAATATTACATGGTGGCTGTTTCATGACTCATATCTTTCCCATTTGACCCGAGTTCACCCTTTTGACTATGTGCATTTTTTACACAACATTTTTCCCAGACCCTCAAAGCATTTTGCATACACAAGTCAGCTTTCACCCAGTCACACACACTCCTACAGAGGCAGAGGCTGTCACACAAGGTGCCACCTGCTCAGGGAAACTAGCACTCACACCAAGCCATCTGGAGCTATTTGGCGTTAAGTATCTTGCCCAAGGACACATCGACATGTTGAATACAGCGGCAGTAGATCCAACCAACCACCTTTGCGATTAAAGGATGAACAACTCCCTCCTGAGCCCCAGCGGCCCAGCAGAAGAGATTTATGAGTGTTTATGGAAGTGATGACTGACTCTGACCTTGAACATCGCAGCCCAGTGACTCTCCTGCTCCAGGAAGTGCTCCTCGAAAGCAGACAGACAGTCCAGGTGGTCCTGGGCTCTCTTCACATAGTTCTTAAACACCGGCGCCCATTTATTCAGCAACTGAGAAGCAGAAGAAGTGCAAGAATTAGTCAGATCCTTAACTTGGTAAAAGTAGAAATATTATGTCTTAAAAAACACTCTAGTACAAGAAGAAAATCCGTGTGTTCCTACAATATAGTAGAGTATAAATATAAAGGAGCATAAAATGGAAATAGTCAAGTAAAGTACAAATGTGTCAAATTTGTACTTGGAGTAAATGTGTGTTGTTAGTTTCAATCATTGCTATGGACACGAAAAAGGCCAAATTCTACATTTGATTCTATCATCTTTACCGGGAGGAGCAGAGTCACGTATTGCGATGCGGTGAGCTCTGGGCCCTGCTGCTGGAAGGGATACTCCAGCACCACCCTGGTTATAATCTGCATCACCTCCTTCAGAGTGATGTTGTAGGCGTACCTGGAGGGAGAGAGCGCGTCAAAACTGAATCTGTCTAAAGAGAGAAGACTGTTGGCAGTGTTTGGTCCCTTCTTACTTGAGAGAGTTGATCTCAAGGACGAGATTGTCACAGCCGATGTTTTCCTCCAGACCCCTCTGCAGAGTCCCCAGCACCTCCAACTGGAACACTACACACAATCAGACCAGAGAAGAAGAGTTAGAGAAAAAGGACGCTTCATTGCAAAATCACAACAGGGAGGCTAAAGACCACAAACATTTAATAAATAAAAGGGAAATTAAATCATCCAAGTGTTCAGAGATCATTCTGATTATATACTATAATTTGTTAGTAATAATAATCAGCCACTGCTCAGAGCCGACATCAAAGGCAACCAAGATCAGCTCCTAATTCTCACATTTTGTTAACAACTAGCATAATATAATAAAATATAGTTCATCTGTGAAATGAATTGCAGCCCTAGGTGATTAATACATTCCGTTCTGTTATGTAATGAATTTCGTAAAACACTGCTAAATTATTGAACTCAATTCTCAATTAAATTGCTATTTATAAAGTGTAGTGTCATCAGGGGGCTATCGTCGCTGGCATTTTGTCTCTTTGGCCAGCAGGGGGCAGTCATGTGGTTCTACAGGTGGCTAAAATGAACAACTCTCACCTTTGACATCGTCCATCTCGGGTGAGGGGATCACAGGGTCGTCATCATCATCAGGCTCGCTGTCCTCACTGTCGCTCTCAGGGTCGGGGTTCAACACCAGACCTGATGCACAGGAAACAAAAGCCAGGCTGCTGGGACACAGACGGAAAGACAGATCTACCGACTGAACAAGTGAGCCGCGCTGCTGTCCTACCCCAGAGACACTGAGACAGCTCCTCATCCTCCGTGTCATCCAGACTGCCGGCCTTCCAGATGTAGCCTTTCCCCTCTGCTCCGACCTCGGCTGGGTTAAACGCTGCAGGACAGAAGAAAACACAGCTTATGACCATATTTGATTATTTATTTTTAGCCTTTATTTTGTGTATAGGAATGGGGGGAGATGTCCAGCAACCAATGTCAACGTTGAAGTGATGTGGCATTTACTGTACCAATCATTAAGATGATTCATATTTCATACAGAGTCAATACACACCCTTCAGTTTGGTTTTGTCTTTGCTGTGTCCGACATGGTCATCATCACTCAGGAACTCATCATCATCCTCCTCTTCCTCCTCGTCTGGATGGTGCATGGACAGCACGGTGCCTTCGGGTAGAGAGATGTTTGGTCCAATCTCCACCTGGATCACAGTCCACAGAAAATGTAGTGATGTGACAGAGAAGGTTTTCACCGTTTCACCATCTCTAAAGTGCTATTCTGATCTTGACACATAAAAGTGGTGGGAAAAAAACCTCCCTCTCCATCGGAGCAAAACGTGTTATTGTACAAACAAAATGAAAGATTGTGCTAAAAGCAGAGTACTTTGTTAGACCAAAAAAGGGAATTTTGGAAATAATAATATTCAGCTTATTGCTAATTACAATGAAGAAAAATAATGATAATACTTGCTTACATTATACGCCAGGACACACTGTTTGTTCAGAGTTACGCCCTCTTTGACCACAACCTTGTCGCAGATCACAGACTGAGTGATCTTCACCTTGCTGGCTATGTGAACATTATTCCAGATGTAGGCATGGTCCAGGGTAACATTGTCACCTGTTGATATGGAGAACAAAAAAGGCATTATTAACATTTCTTTTATTACGCACTTATATATAACCTCACTGAATCAGTTTTGAGAGCTCACCTATGGTGCAGTTGTTCCCGATGACGCTGTTAGAAATGTAACAGTTGGCGCCGATGCTTGTCTCACAGCCGATGAGGACGTTCTCCTCCATTATGCTGCCGTGTCCCAGGCTGACCCCGGACCCTCGGTAGACGTTGTGGCGGGAAAACGTGCAGCTTCGTCCCTGCTGGTCGACGAAGTTAGCCTCGGGGGTGAGCGGGTAGACCCACCGCCGCACGAGGTCAGACGACACAGAGTCGTACATGAGGAGGTTGGACACTCTGACCCCGTAACCATCCTTGGTGGCATGCATGTGTATCTGGTTGCCCAGAATCTAAAACAGGAATTAAGGATTAATGCTTTGAAGGGGTTTGTAGCAAAACATGATCCAGATATCATAAGGAATAATGCCGTACCTCTTCATTGACCAACATCCCTCTGACAAAGTCATTCCTAGTCTGGTAGTCAAAATTGTCAGTGAAGAGCTCAGCGACCTGAAAATGAGGAAAAACAATTTATAGAAGGAGAATCAAGTTTATTGCCAGGTACGTTTACACCTGAACCACTAATGAGAAGTTCAATAGCTCCTGTATTTTGCATTCTAACCTGTGGGGAGCAGATGCTGATGTGACAGTCCAGGAGGTCGTGTCTGATTTCAAACTCGTCACTTGCATTGTGGAAAATGTTCTGCCAAACAAACAGAGAGCGACTGTCAACAATCAATCCAAAGCAAAAGTAAGGTAAAGGTTTGATAAAATGGTGAAGCTCCTACCATGGGGAACTGTAGCCTCTTCAGCCCCTGTGTCCTCTGGTAGTGTAAAATCCGCTGGCTCTTGCTGTCCACGGCAACTATGACATCGTCTTCCTCACAGCGCGACTTGTGACCGGGCGACGATTCCTTAAAGACCATCGTCATCACCGAGATGTTCTTCTCCACCTTTCGACGATGCCTGTGCAAAATGACACATAGTATTCGAATAAAACAGATGTCGAGAGACCATATTTCATTTCTTCTGATTATACTAATAAAGCCATCTCTTACCTGTGCTCTTGCACTGCCTGACTGAGGTCAATATTTGATACCACGTCTCCGTAGACCAACACGAAGTCCGAGCGCAGAAGGGACTTTGCATCAACATCCCTGAGCACATCCCCGAGGGAGCGGTAAAACTCTGAGGTGATGATGTGGACTGTGTTTGGAGAGGTGGGTCGACACCACTTCGACTTCCTGTCAGACCACAGAAACAGGTCAACATCTTACATTTGAGACATATCCAAAAATGATCACCCTAGTGAAACTTACATTAAGTGTTCCTTGATTTCACTGGCCATCCAGCAGCAGAAGACAAATGTTTCCTGCACCCCGGTGGACGTGAGGAACTCCAGGGTGTAG